CGAGGCCCCCCTCGGGGTGGGAGGGGGGTGAGGGAGTGCCCTGCGACCCCGATCTCCCGCTCCCTCCCCCTCGGCTCCCCCGATCCCCTTTTCCGACTGGTATGGTATTGCCCCAGAAAGTGAAGAAGACTCTCGGGGTTCCCGAGCTATCCCGCAACCCTCCCCCCCGCATTCTAGTGTGGGAATCGGGGGGTCGCTCAACGTCCATTTTGCACCCCTGACCGGGATCCGGGTTTATTTATTTATCGTTATTTATTTATTTGGTTTAGCGGTGTGAAGCCCGGCGGGGGCCGCTTCCGGCCGCCCAGCCGGGAAATTCCCGCCGTTGCCATGGCACCCGGCACTTGTTGCGGGGGGCGGCCTTCAGCTGCACCCGGCAGGGGGTGCGCGGCGTCCCCACCCCCCTTCCCCTCGCCCGCCGGGGCGCGCGGGGACTCAGCCACGCTCCAGGCTCGGGGCTCCCGCTCGCCCAGGCCTCCCTTGACTAGGTTCAATAGGAGGTGCCAGTCAGAATTGGGGTTCGAGAGGATCAGTTCCCCCCGCGTCCCCGCCCCAGGGGCAGCTCCTAACTAGACTTTCCGTTTCAGATTTCAGATACTCAGACTCCACCTTTACTTTCACCTACGTTGGCGGCCCCAAAAGGTATTTTTATGCGTCTGGAGTTGCTTCATTTCCTGTTCACACGCTGGTGTTTCCTTTGTTCTTCGCGGGTTCCGTGTTTGGGTGTTTTATTTGCCTGTTGTCTCTGCTTTCTGGGGCTCATCCCAAGCCTGAGGTCCGCCCTCTCCCCTCCCGCCCCCTCTCCATTTTTTTTTTCCAGTAGCAGGAGGGAAAATAAAATAGGATGGAAGCGTTTCTGAAACCCAGCCACAGGCATGGGCAGCAGAGAACTCTTGCTGTTGATTTTCCTGTTTATTTCCCTCCCTGCTCCAGAAGTAGATTGCTCTCAGGGCGTCCTGGGCTTGGGTTACCAGCAGCCCAGGCTGGCATATTGGGTAAGAAGTGAAATGGGTAAAAGACAATGTCACAAAATTGGTCACAAGTGGTGATTTGCCTGGAGAGAGGGACAGGCAGCCTGTCTGTTTGCATGTTTTGTGAAGGTTGACATAAACATGCCACTACACAGTTTGATTTTTTTTTGTTTTCTTTTGGGGGGTGGTGGTGGTGGTGGTTCACATTTAGTTGTAAGAAAGAATTTGGAGAGTTTATGTAGCAGGAGTGGCTGTCATTCCTCCTTTTAGGAGAGGAATAACACATGCATACTTTAATAGAAAAGCCGTCAACAATTATGAATAAGCCCAAACCAATTTTGTCTTGAGAACGTGGTGTTAGAGTGAGAACAAGGGACCAAATAGACCTTGCTGTTTTTCTCTGTAACATCAGTGTTTTCATTTAGTCTTTTAGGGCCAACTGTAGTGGTTGTCTGGGGCTTACCATAGAGATTCCTCAGCCCAGCTCTGCATTTGAGACTTGACATTCAGTATCATTTGACTCCTGACTAGCTAATGGAAGCATCGATGAACACAAAACTGCAAAACAAAATGCTTCCTTTTGTACATACCTTTTAAAAGCTTGGTATTAATGTGTACTTTCAAAGCACTGAGGAGCTGGGTTGCTTTCTATCTCTTAGAGAAGCTTTAATTAAGTGGTCATCAAATTCCTGTTTACCCAGTATTACTTCAGTCCCAGGATTGATCAAACACTGATTGAATATTGTGGACAATATAACAATGAATCACCAAACTTCAGTGTACTCTTTGGGAGAGAATCAAATTGCATTATTGCTAATTTATGAGAGTACTGTCATCTTTGTAATTGTGGATAAAATGAAACCGGAGGATAGTTGATTAAATTAACACTGCTCCCACACTTAATAGCCAAAGGACATTTGTGTATGACTAATGCCCTCTTGGATTATTTTAACAGCTAAAATATGCTCTTGTGGCCTATTGAGAACATTCCCACACACTCAGGTGGACATGTGGTTGTTACTGTTCTTCAGTAGAATGTATAGATAGGAGAGTCTGACTGGGCCCTTTTGGCAAACCTGTTTTCTGATTTTCTGTGAGACATTTCAGTTCTTTTAGTCTCAGTTTACTTATCTGTGTAATGAAGAGTGAACTAGAACTCAAATCTCTAATATTGGTTCTATATTACAGTTAGGATTCTTTATCAGCAATTATTGAACTGATGTTCTGGTAGCTTGAGGTGGAGATGGTGCGACTGCATTCAGGAACAAGGCCAAGGTGTTATAGTGAATAATTAACACATCTAGATAACATCAGGTTTCACTGAATGAATAGGTACCATAGTTCTCTTCATGTAAGAAATACTTCCTTTCCCATGTAATTGGATTAAGGAGTAATGTTTTTCTTTTGTATCTGATTTGAATATCTAGGACTTGTATAGCTAGTGTTGAACAGCTGAAAATTGTCACAAGATAGTTTTTGACCCAGTGATTACTGAGCTTTCTCCAAAGCTTGTTCTGCAGTACAACATGCTAAAAATCATTTTCATACAATACAGTAAATAATCCCTTTATTTATTGTTTGTACTTGAGAACAGATGAGATTATATTTTTTATCTCCTGAAAATAAAAACATTATTCCCATTACCTACATTAGAAACCCATATTTAATCATCTCTTTCCCATCTTGACATTTCAATCAGGCATTTAAAATTAAAATAATTCTCTATCTTGATTGAGTGTGCTTCGTAACTTACAATATTTGATTAATAATCTTCTTTCAGGTGAATAAGATTTACTTCACCATTGAAGGAAGTAGCAATCTTACAGAGATTGTACACAATTATATTTAATTGTATTTAACTACCATTTCAACTAAATGATTGAGAGAATACTTCAGAAGCAGTTCTCAATTCAAGTGGCAGATAAAACTTAAAATACCATTTCCTCTGTGACACTTTCTACGAGTGAATTACACATTGTTCTAAAGACTGACCTTCCATGTCAGTATTAAAAAAAAAAAGGATATTGAACTTTTTTAAAACTTCCTTAAAAAAAAATCTGTGGATGGGAAGAAATGCTGAAGAAGAAATGGTGCCAAGGCTGCCCAGTGCCTGGTATATCAGTCTTTTTATGGTGGCCTTTGTAAGGCAAAGTGCCTGGTCACATTACTATTCTGCCTTGGTGGAGGTGTGAAGAAAGAGAGGAGGAAGTGGTCAGTTCAGAGGCCGAGTTAACTTAATTTTCCTTGAAGGGAACGTTCATGGAATTATCATCTTCACTTGCAGTGTACTGGCTGTCGCTCAGAGTTTTAACATACCTGGTCAGATTCACTCAGTTCAATGATGGCATTGTGGTGTAAGCCCTGTTCTGTCAGACTGCTGGGACCTGGGTTTCTTTCAGGACATCATGATTCTCCACCATTTTGAGCATGCAGACAGTTCTGCACCAGAAAATAAAAATAAAAAAGATTCAGTATTTAATATCTGTTGACTGAGAAGGACTGACTGAAGAAAAAGCATTAAATATTACTATAGCATTTGTCCATGCTTGAACATTTGTGATACATATACATATATATTAATCATATATATGGTAATCATATATATTTATGATTAATTCATTATAGCAGTAGATCTCATAAACACCTCCAATTTCCAGACTCCTTGGAAGAATAACTGTATACTAGTTAGTGGCTCAGGGCCAGTTTTTACCCAGTTGGTCTCCTAATTTTAGACGTGTGCCAAGAAGAGGCCTTAACTATACACAATTTGGAGTTTGTGCACAACTTATTTATCCTTACATTTTGTCACGTTTGTGATTTTTTCTTTTCTGTGTTGATTAGCAGAAAACTCATTAATGCTCCAAAGATTTTGGGCTGTGTTTCTTCATTTCACTTGTAATCAGACATGGAGTTAGTGGTAGAGCAAACAGAAGGTATAATATAGGTTGTGACGTCTGTTGAAGGGAGGAACGCGGGCTGAGTCTTCAGGCCAGTGATTACCAAAGTCAAGGGAAGAGGAAGAGGAGCCCAATGGCTCCACCATGGATGGTTCTTGGGGTTCCCCAAGGGTGAGGGTTCAGTCAGGCAAAGATTGGCAAGATAGAATTCTGTAGTTTTAAAAAATACATGAATCAGAATTGTTGTTGGAAGACAATTCGGAAAAGATTTGACAAAAAAGGAAAAACTTAAAAAAATGGAAAAGCCATATGATTTTTCTGTCTTTTAGAATTTTGTGAGTCTGTGAGCATATGAAATATATGCATTATAAGACAGTACTATACACTTCTGAGATGCTACTTTTTCCATTCAAAAACATACTACTACTATTACTGACTTTCCTTTAGAAAGACTATGAGAATAAAGATATTTGTATTAAATCCAGAGCTTTCTAATCAGAGTGTGATCACATTATAATTGTTATATTTAATCTGAGCATGGCTCACTCGTGTAATCCCAGAATCTGGCAGGAGTATCAAGAGTTCAGGGGCATCCTGAGCTATATATTTGTGAAATATTACCTAGAAATAAAGAATTCTAATATTAGAAGTTACAATATTAGAAATGTAATATTTTGTTGGATGTGTAAAATTGCCTGCCTGTGTATTCCCTCAGTTGTATGAGAAAATACTTCTATGTGATCATCTTTTAAAGTATATTCTGTCCAGGTAAATGTTTTTGAATGTCAGGTGTGACAGTAATAATAGTAATGTCAGGAGTACAGATGTGGTTCAAGTGGTATACTACAGTACCAGCTTGAAGCAGAAAAAGCCCAACAAGAGCAAAGGCCCTGAGTTCAAGCTCTAGAACCTATTTTCCCTCCAAAATGGAAAACAAAAAACAAACAGAAAAAAAATCCATGTAACTTGGGGAAAGTCAAACCAGAGAACATGATCCTGAGTTTAAGCCCCAGTCATCCCTCCAAAACAAACAAACAAACAAAACCCACTTTCTTTGGAATGGAGGCATGAAACAAATGGTAGAATACCACCAGCCTCGAGCCAAAAACGCCAAGGAACAGCCCAGGCTTTTCAGTCCAATCCCTAGTACTGGAGAGAGCAAGATAAATAATAAGGAAGGAAGGAAGGAAGGAAAAGAAAGGAGTCCCTATGTGCTACCTTTCCATCCTTTACCTGTTTATATCTCAGTATTTCACTTCCCTCTCTCTTAAGACAAGGTCACACCAAGTAGCTCAGACTGGCCTCACATTATTGGATTGTCCTGTTTCAACCCTTTGAGATTGCTAGGATTCCATGTATACCACTATGTTCTTCTCTTCTACGTATTATATGTCTTTTAGGACGTCGTCCTGTTCATTGTGGTTTCCCTAGCCCAGTGTGGGTAGTGTAATATTTTCTCAGTAACTAAATGCTGAGTGAAATGAAATTATGAAATGAGGGCTGAAAACTCTAGCAGATGAGAAGGGATTTCCTAACCTAAATGACCAAGTATGGAGACACTCAAACACTTTATAGAGAGTCCTTAGTCTTGTGATGCCACTTGCAGTGCAATTTCATAGGAATCCAGAGTTGCCTAGTTAAGTAAGCTGTGAGTCCTGTTCTCTGTTTCCTGTGCCTTTGTGGGCATGTGTATGGGAATGGATGGGGAGACAGACACAATAGTTTAAGATATCAGAGAATTATGAAGAATTTGGCTTACTAGAGGACTTACTGG